TTAAGATGATTGCTTATAAATTCTCTTTGAATTATAAGAAGCTTTAGTCATATGATTTGCCTCTGATTTAGCATTAGATGTTTTTATAAATTTCCTAACTCAGAAGACTTGTTCTTTGAAACTTTGTCTTTCTTCTTTTGGTTTTGACCTTTGACCCTCCAAATCTTCCCTTTTTTTACTGTATTAGAAGAAGATGGATCAAATTTGTCAATCAAAACAACTTTTCCTTTTTGTTCAGGAATGAATTTTATAGGTTTGAGAGAATAAGAAATTTGTTTAGATGTATCTCTGGATTGTTTAGACTTATTCTTCAACTCTTTTTCAAGTTTCAGAGAGGTTTTGGATTTTAAGCACATTCTTATGAAATCAGAGCATATAGGTATTTTTGTTTTCTGTGTAATTTCTTTAATTCAATTTTTTAATTATAATTTAATTTTAGTTTAATAATGAAATATATTTTTGGTTTGATAATATAACATTTTATAAAGATAATAATTAACAATTCTGTTAGAACTTAATGATTATCCTAATCATATTTTAGATCTTTTATATTTAAAATGAGATGTTTATCCTGTATTTGATTATGTTTATCTGCAGTTAGTTACATGAATTCAGATATGAAACTTTAATAAGTTGTACTTACGTACAATTTACTTGTAATTTTGAGTTTTAAGTAATATTCATTAATAAACAGTACTTTATGCATAAAAAGTTGTTTTTAAGAGTTTTTGTCAAATACTTTATAATATAGTATAGATATAGGGGTGAGTTCATTTGTTAAACCAATATATGGTGTTAATTTTGTGAACCAATCTTATCTATAGACCTTTGAAATTTGTGGCTAAGATCATTTATGACATAAAGTGTAAGTAATTGCACACATGGACAAGGTAACATAGGTGAACAATGTTTACAATGGATATTTTAGGGGGAAAAATTAGTTATCCATTAATGACAATGAGCTACGTGCTGGCACTCAATTAGTAGCATTGGCACGTCACTCGGCTCCTTGGCTCTCTTTCCGTAAGTCGGTGAGGAGTGAGCGATCTACTGAGACTGAGCCGTCTTCGCTAGCCGATCTTTCAGTTTTGTAACTGCCTATTAATAACAATGTAACTATCTGGAAATTAATCTCGTCATCGAATCAAAACCAGCAACAAGATTCCCGACACCAGATTCTTCTATAGTTTTTTTGTTAATGATTCATGACTGAACAAATATTTGATATTTATGGGAATTGTTCATGCGTGAACAGAGGTGTATATAGAAAAAAGTCGTACAAATTTTTGTAACATCCATGTTTTATTTTAGTAAACACATACACTATGTAGTCTCGTTCATATATAAATTAAATGTGAAAGGATACCTGGTTCATCTCTGAACAAAAATCAAATTGTGCTTATGAACAATGTTCATGTGTTTACTTCTGAACACTATTCAATTTTTTAAATAATTGGTAATTTGTACATACCCAGTTTTTGTTACATGTATTTGGTTATCAAGTTCACATATGAAAACAATATTTTTTTTAAATGTTGAAACGAGATTGTTCACCTATGAATAAATGTTTACTCAAGTATAATTAATAAATGTAACCGACAATTAATTACTTGGAGTAATTAATAAATGTAACCGACAATTAATTTGCATGAGATATTTACAATGGCAAGACATGGAATAATTAAGAAATATAACCGAAAACTAATTTGCAATATTAAAACAAAGATCAAATAAAAAATTACAATTTTACCCTCATTAAATAAATTTATCATGTGCATCAACCAAAATTGTATTTTGTTTTCTCCTGGTTCATTGAGGTTTGTCAAGTTAACATCATATATTGAGTTAACAAATGAACTCACCTCTATATATGTATATATACATATTTATATATATATATATATAGAGAGAGAGAGAGAGAGAGAGAGAGAGATTCAGTTACAAACATGTTCTTTGTTGCAACTTAGGGACAAAGGAGAGCACGATACTTCTCCTCATATTTTTTTTCATTCATCATGAATAACAAACATGAATTTTTTGCAACATTTAATGCAGGAAGATGATATAGTATTGATAAATATTCCGGTAATACATGGGCCATGTGGCACACCTTCCTTTGTCTCCTAATTTACAATGGAACTTAAATTTTCAATTGAACCTGTCCAAGCACACATACACACACACACACATAGAGAGAGAGGTTCAAAACAAACCAAGTAAATGTTACAAATAATACAAACCAATCGTAGACATCCATCTAGCCTAATGAATATTCGGTTCTTCAGATATCTCGATTGTTTTCTTATCCAAAGCAATGAATGAATTTTATCAACTTCCATAATTCTCGACCATAATTAATAAATCATGTTCGTCTTCCATAAACATCTTGATTGTTTCCTAGATGAAAACCTATTTTAAGTTGTGAACTAGTGGACAAATCTTGGCCCTCCATCCTATTTGATCCAACAACTCATACTAAACAAAATTTCTAATTAAGATTGTTAATTAAGGTGATTAGGGGTGCAAAATGAAGTTTATTCAAATCGTGACCATGTTTAATTATATGATTTTTTTCTTTTGTTTTTTTATTAAAAAACTTTTACCCCCTTTATTTTTAACAAAATTATCTTAAAATTACTAATATTTTAATTAAACAAATTATATCAGAAAAACGAGAATTTGATTCTCTTCGATATGACATCCACCTCGATATAATTTTTTTTGTTCAGTACGTGAAATATTGTATATGTGTCATATTCATTATGAATATTCATGTACGTTTAAGTGTGTACAATAGCTCGACATCGTAACCTTGTAACTCAACACCACCTTCTTTAACACCATAAGTTTGTAATCCGTAAACACCATCATAAACGTTGTAAGTATGTAACCTGACACTACATAACCAACACCTATCGAGACGGATTGAGAACTCATTCATTGACTTGCTGTGTGTTTTTGTGTCTAAAACCATAACCTACAACCATTTTTCTAGTGAGACTGATCAAGAACCTATCAATTGATTTATTATGTGTATGTGTGTGTAAAACCATACCTACCCCTTCCAGCTTTTATTGAGATGGATCATGAACCCTTCAAGACTAATCGAGAACCCATCAAGACCAATCAAGATTAATCGAGAACCCGTCCATTGACTTGGTGTGTGGTTGTGTATATAAAATCATAATTGACCACTTTCAATTTTCATCGAGATCAATTTAGAACCTATCAATTGATTTGTCGTGTGTAAAACCATAATCTACCACTTTCAGCATTTATCGATAGGGAGCGGGAACCCATCGAGATGAATCAATAACCTATTGAGACGAATTAGGAAGCCATTGAGATTAATTGAGAACCCAATAAAGAAGAACATAAAAAATAAAGTACGTAGATTTGAAATTGTAATATATTAATGATAAATAATATATATATATATATATATATATATGCATGATGAATATTATGGTGAAAATTAATATGATTAATATCATACTAATATAAATACTTGAGAGTTGTTATATACATGTGATCATACATGAATATTCATGATGAATGTTACATTGAAAACATATATTCATGATAAATATCATATTGATGTATGAATACTGAAAGTTGTTGAATACACGTGAACATATATAAATATTCATGATAAATGTTACATTATAAATGTATGTTCATGGTAAATGTCATATTGATGTATAAATACTAAAGAGTTGTATATGCGAACATATATAAATATTAATGATCAATGTTCTATGAAAATTTATATTCATCATGAATATGATTTTGATGTGTGAATGTTGAAAAATTGTTTTATATATATAGGTGAGCGTACATGAATATTCATAATGAATAATATTCATATTCATGAAAAATGTTATAGTGAAAAAAAATATTAATCATGAATATCATAGTGATTTATGGATACTGAAGATTTGTTGTATATATATATAAGAAAATACATAACTATTCATGATACATGTTATAATGAGTTGTATATTCATGATGAATAACATATTGATGTATGAATACTAAAGATTTGTTTAATACACGTGAACGTGCATAAATATTCATGATGAATACTACACCGATTTATCATTTCACGCAAAAACACAGTTACAAGAAAAACTATATCGAGATGAATTTCAAATTAAAGAAAACTAAAATGCTCGTTTCTTATATAATTTATTTAATTAAAATATTAACTACTTTTAAGATAATTAATTTAAAAATTAAGGTGGTAAAAAAAATTAATTGAAAAAAGAATAAAAAGTCCCAAAAGTTAGGCATGTGATTCAAGTTTGAAATTAATTCCATTTTTCCCTAATCATTATAATTAACCAATATATGTTTAGAACATCAATTAATTTTCTTAATTTTAATCAATGACCCAGATCAATCCACTGATTTACAACATAAAAATGGTTTTCAATTGGAATGAGTAATCAAAATGTAAATTTGGCAAGGATAAGGACTCAGAGAGAGTTTGGACATGATAAAAGACAGCTCACATAATATAGTTAAGAATAGGGGGATATAAATTCCAAGTAAAGATTATTTAGTTGCAGATAAAAGAATAATTAATAACGACTTATGAAACGAAAGATATTAAGCATGAGTTGTAAGTATGTAAAAATAAGATAATAGGATCAAGTATTCAAACCCGAGAATGGTAAGTAAAAACATTATTAAGTTCAAATAAGTAAAACTAAACTATAAGTTACAGATCAATAAAGATAAAGAATCTGATAAGATATATGTTAAGATACATAAATGTTCTGAATTAATTTTTATACCCAAAATTTATTCAATAAATTAATAGTTAAATTTCACTCACAAAATATGATAATTTTGAAACTTTAAAGAAAACAAAACAACAAAAAATCATATTCAAGTGTCATGTTATGTCATCTCTTGGTCTTGTGTTGTTTCCCACTCTCTCTCTCTCTCTCTCCCTCCCATCTTATTTTTTTTAGCTTCGTCTCAAGCAACCAAACTGTCCCTTGTTGGAACCTCTGAAACACGCTGTATGCTCTAATACTACGTAAACCCTAATTCCTCCATTTGAAAGGCTGGGTAGGTCTTCTCTTCCACTTCTGTTACTTCTCAGGTATGCCTTTCTCTTTATCCATTCAAGATCTCTGATTAAGCACACCAACAAATCTTATTCAAGTGAGATATCTGAATATGGTTTCTGGGTTTTGCATATCAGAAACCAGATTCGTTTTCACATGGATTTTCATAATTATATTCAGAATTTATGTTCAATCTGTCTTTATGGATTATTCTTCTCAAAAGAGCTGTTCACTTAACTTCAAAGATGGATACTTTTGATGAAGATATTCAAGTAATTAATGATTGAATTTCCTCATCATAATCGTTGATTATATTGTGTTTTGAAACATTCAAGGAACCACATCTACATGGTATAGAGCTTATGCTTCTGTTTGTTGATACACCGGTGGCAATTCATTGGAATTTAACCTCAAAACCTAAACATATATCTAAAATTTTGAACGAATTTGTATGATTTTGGTGGGTCGATTTGTGTGTGTTGATGTAGGAATCAGAAGAAAGAAGGTTGTTTCTTGTTTTAAATCGAAAACGGTGTTTTTCTTTGGGATTGCGGAGCATTAATTTATTAGTATTTATTTGAAGCATGTTTTTTAGGGTTTAATCAAGAGACATTAATGGCGCTGAGTGGCACAGACAAAGAGATAAGAACGCAGACTTCTTCACTCCCATACAACAACCACCACTTGATTCGTGAATCCTCGTCAGAAACCATGGATCATATTCATGGGTCGGACCCAGATCGGTTTGGGGGATCTGGAGCTTCAGTTACACCCATATCAGTGGGATCTAGGCTCTTGAAGTCTCCGCCGCCGCCGGTAAGGTACCGAGAGTGCTTGAAGAACCATGCCCTCAACATCGGTGGCAATATCACTGACGGATGCGGCGAGTTCATGCCGTCAGGTGACGACGGAACCCTAGAAGCACTCAAATGTGCCGCTTGTAACTGCCACCGTAACTTCCACCGCAAAGAAACCACCATCGCCACCCCTACCGCCGGACCATTTCTTCAGCTCCCTCCTCCATTACCCTCCCCCTCATCGTTGTTCAACCATCACCAGCGTACGTCAACAATCTCCCTCCACCACCACCACCACGCGAACTGGGCACCCTCCATTAACGCTCCCCCGGTGAAAATTGCGGTGGGGGGAAGCGGTGCTGCAACCGAATCCTCCAGCGAAGAGCTGCATTTCACGGCGGCAGCGCCGTATGGGGTGGTGAAAAGGAGATTTAGGACAAAATTTACGCAGGATCAGAAGGAGAAGATGCTTGAATTTGCAGAAAAAGTAGGGTGGAGGATACCAAGAGAAGATGATCCAGAGGTTCAAAGATTTTGCGCAGAGGTAGGAGTTAAACGACAAGTTCTCAAGGTCTGGATGCATAATAATAAAGTCATTTCTGGGAAGAAGCAAGTTCAAGATTCCAATGAAACCATTGATTGATTGTACGGTACAATCCAGTTATGCAGTAGAATGTTTTAATGTGTATAGAGAGATGGACTCTATGTTATCGTTTTCTTTGTGTTCTTATTTCTATTTCTTGATTGTAAGGAGTTTATTGAAAATCTACAAATACTTTCTCTCATTTTTATTTAGTTCAATATCATCATATTTTTGCTCCAACAAAGTTACAAAATCCCTGCATAACTATTTGTTTTTAACATTTTCGGGATTGCTTATTTGAAACAACTTATGTTATTCTATAAAAGCACTTATCAACTTATTATAAATCAAAAGAGTTTAACTTCTTCAAAAACTTCTTTACTACCGGTTTGACACCGGTATAAGCTATTTATCCAAACACTCAAAAATGCTTATTACCGGTGTCACATCAAAATAAGTCAATAAGTTATTTTTATAAGCAATCTCAAACACCCCCTTAATCACATTATTGATTACATGCTTTTACACGCAACTTTATTGCATTGGTTTAACATAATCATATATTATTTTCGTTATATATAAATCAATATTTTTAAATATGTAAAATAGTTTTTTATGTATTAATTAGCGAGGATAACCAGAAAATCACAAAATTAATATGCTTATTTTTCTTGATATTTGCATATATCTTAGCTTCATAGAATCCGATTTATTTCACTCCAATACAATGTCCAACACACATAAATGGCCAAGGAGGTCATACCCCGACGCCCTTTGCAAAAGAAATACAAAACATTGTTTTCGAAGTCCACAAGATTAAGGTTAGGTTATTCGTATCCCGTAGCTACATTATTGTCTTTGTAAAAAAATATATATTAGGTGTTCAGTTCATTCTATAATCATTCGTATTTCAAACACGGGTAAAGAAATTATTTTATAACTGTTTCGTGCAAATACTTTATACCTGGCTCAGAATAAAATATAGTCCTGCAATATATTTTGTCTTAATATCATTTCTAACGGTATATAAAGAGTACTCATTTAGTTGTTATATATATATATATATTAATTTATTTGAAATTATATGTTCTTACAATTAAATTGGATATCTTTTTTTTCTTTTTTTTTTACAGGAACAAGGATTTTATGCAACCAAAAAGCAGGGAGGCTTATTTAAAAGGTTAATCATGGATTTGTATAGCATTAAAAAAAGTAGGTAGGTATTTTTTGAAAATCCATAAAATTATTCTAACTTTGAGAGCTAATGCATTATATGATTTTTTTTCATTTAAACTAAGATTTAATATATTTTACTATACGTTTGTTTCATAATGTGGACCTTTTTAGCATTTTTGTGAAGTAAAAGCTACATGTAATTTTTTTTTTTAGGAGACGGCAATTTACTAAAAAGCTAGCAAGAGGCTAGCGGAAGGAATTACAGAGGCTCAAAACAATGAAAAGGATAAGTTCTCCACAATAATACATCTTTTAGGCTTGTCTTATGCCTATATATGACATCCATCTAAAAGATTTATCAATAATCAGATCAGAAAGTGACGTCCTTCTTTGGCTCTAATTTATAGAAAGCAACTCTATTCCGGATGTTCCATATAGAATAGCAAGTAATGAACATAATAGCCTTCAAGCACTGACAACGCAATGAAGAAATGTAGGTCGTCTTTATTCCCTCCAATGCCGCTCCAAAGGAATGAAAAGAAGAGAAAGGAAACTGCCACTAGCCTTCCAATCTTCTCCAAATCGCAGTAGAAACATCACACAAGAAAAGGGTATGATCTACTATCTCCACGACCTACTTACATAATGGACAAATAGTATTATCAAGGTCTATATCTATGTCCGCTAGTCTTGCTTTGACAGGAATTCGACCTTGTAAAGCCCTTCAACAAAAGATATTGATTTTGGATGGGACTAGTTTGTTTCGCCTAGTTGAGAAGCCACCATTCTCGAACGTCAAAATCTCAATTTTTTTCTCTCGTACCTTTGACCGAAAAATCGCCATCACCAGAAAGTTTCCATTTCCATTTATCTCTTAAGGAGTTTAGGTAGAAATTTCCCAAATACCTAGATAATTGCATTAGGTCGTCGGCTTCTCTACCACTTTGAATTTCTCTATGGCAATCCCATTTGGATCCTCCTTCTTCTGTCCGCCACCATCGCAAGGATATCATTTTCAAAAGCAAAAAGTATAGGATATAGATCCTCTAGTTTACCGTATACATATATAAACACATTGTAAAACGAATATATATATATATATATATATATATATATAGGGGTGGGTTCAAATAAAAACCACTCAATTTGTAAAAACCGTGAAAACTTCATTCAACCAATCATAATTTTTCATTTTGTTTATTTTTTTGAAATTATAAGAGGTTGATTAACCATTTTTATTGTGGAGGATGTTAATCATGGATATTATCATCTTCATTATTTTAATTTTAGAGAAATACATGAAACAGTTTCATTAAAATTTCATTAAGTAGTAGATGAAACAATT